GCTTGCTCTTCCAGGGGTCCCAGAACCACATGGTGGCTCATAACCATCTGTGGTGAGATCTAATGCCCTCTTCTGGCCTGCAGGCATACATACAGACAGAACATTGTATACATAATAAATAAGTGGATATTTAAAAAAAGAAAAAGAAAAACAATAACAAAAAAAAAAAAAAAAAAAAAAAAAAAAAAAAAAAAAAACAGAAAGGAAGGAAGGAAGGAAGGAAGGAAGGAAGGAAGGAAGGAAGAAAGAAAGAAAGAAAGAAAGAAAGAAAGAAAGAAAGAAAGAAAAGGTATGCTGAACAAGATAGTGCACACCCTTAATCCAAGCTCTTGGGAGGCAGAGGCAGGCAGATCTCTGAATTAAAAAAAAAAAACCATAATATATAAGCAAAAAAAAAAAAAAAAGTCCAAAGTATTATGAGACAATCTCCAAAAATACCACTAAGTTTGTTTTGTGTTCGCCATCTACTGCTGTGTATGGGGACTACCCTTCCTTTGCAAGCAGTTGTCCACTGGAGACAAGTTCTAGGTTAAGAATGGGGGCTGTGTCCATTTCCCATCTCATGTGGGACCTCCTCTGGTCTGAACCTGTGCAGGCCACATGCTGCCAGTCTCCGTGGGGTCCTATGTATGCCAGTCCTACTATTTCTATTAAGCACTGTTTCTTTGGTGTCCTGCATGGCCACTGGCTCCCTCAGTCTTTCAGCCTTCCCTTCTGCACAGTTCCCTGAGCCTTGGGGGAGGTATTTGAAGAAGGCATCCCATATAGGGCTGAGTGTTTCACTCTCTGCACTGTCTGATTGTGGTAATTCCCTTTGTAAAGGTGGTCATGCCCACCCCGGTACTAACACACCGACTGAGCTTTCTGGACATGGAGCCAGAGGGCAAAGAATGCCCAATCTTGCCCCCCGCCCAATGAAATCCCTCAGAGGATCATCAGATGCCTGCCAGGAGCTGGCAGGGGCCATGAAAAGAAGCTTCAGTCAGCCTACCCTGACTGCCAGCCCAGAACCCAGCCTTGAACAGCTCAAATCTCCCTTCCTACTTGTACCCGTGTGGACAGACTCAAGAGCAGAAACCTAGGATGAATAGCTGAGGTTCCTAGTAACTAACATATAAAGCCCACGTTGGAGCCAGGCTTTCTGGGCTCCTCTCAGCATCTCTACCCTAAACCTCTCCAGCCCGAGCTTCACTTCCTTCCCCCCACCTTACCTTACCTTACCTTACTCCTTTCCTTTTTCCTTTCCTTTTTCCTTTCCTTTTTCCTTTCCTTTCCTTTCCTTTCCTTTCCTTTCCTATATGGCCCAGCCATTTCTGACAAGCACTCTTTTGGCTCCACACTCTGGGTTTTCCTCCCTCTCCTGGTCCCTTTTTTTCTCCTCTCTCTCTCTCTCCTCTCATGGCTCAGTCTACTCTAGTTCTGTACCTTCCCAGATGCCTCTGGCTGAATACTCCTTCACATCTACAATAAAAACCTCCTCCTCAACCATATGTCCTCATCTTCATTCATCGCAGAATGCTTGTCCACTGTTCTTACCACACAGGCACAGTACTTACTAGTGACATGAGGCCAGCCCTTGAGCTGGTGGAGCAGAATATGAAATGTAAACAGACCACCAGATGGGGCTACACAGAGTGGCATGAACCTCTATATACCAGCTATTTTAAGAGAGTCTAAAGCAAGCAACTAGATCTCTTGAGTCCAAGAGTTCAAGGACAGTCAAGACAAAATAGTAATGTGTAATTACTATTATCTAGCTCTTAAAAATATAAACACAAGCTGGGCATGGAGACTCATGCTATGATGGCAATTCTTGATTGTCAACTTGACTATATCTGGAATTAACTAAAATCCAAACGACTGGGCACACCTGTGAGGGATTTTTCTTGATTAAATCATTTGAAGACAGAAGACCCACTTCTAACCTGGATCTTTGAGGTGGGAAGATAAACTTTTAATGCAGATCTTTGGAGATGGGACAATCTACCTTTAGTCTGGAGCACACCTTCGGCTGGCAATTTATATAAGGACACGGAAGAAGGAAGCTCTCTCTCCACCTGCTTGCTCCCATTAGCAAATCTGGTGTTAGTTAGAGCCTCTGTCAGGATTCTGATCTCTTCTGAAGACCAGCTGAGACAGCCAGCCTCCTGGGCTGAGCAGCTACAGTGTTGCAGCCCCCAGCATCACATAAACAAGAGCAGCAGCATATCCTGCCAGCACTTGGGAGTGGAGGTAGGGAAATTATGATTTCAAGTTCTCAGCTACATAGTAAACAGAAAGGCAACCTGGACTACATGAAACTCCTTCTAAAAAAGTAAAATAAAATAAAAAAGAGGCTGATAGCTGAGGAGATGCTTAGTGGGTAAAAGTGCTTGCTGTGTAAGGCTGACAATGTTGAGCCCTAGAACCCACATAAAAAGATGTACATGGTGGTATGCATCTGTAACCCCAACACTCCTACAGAGAGATGGGAGGCAGAGCCAGCTCATGGGTCAACCAGCCTTCAGCACACAACACGGCACAGCAGGAGAAACAAACAGAACCTTGCCTGAACAAAGTAAAAGGAGAGAACCCACTCCCAAAAACTGCTCTGACTTGCACACACTCTGGAATGGATGTACGCGTTCACTCTATTGCTGTCTCCTCTCTTCTTCTCCCCCTATACACATCCATGCACCACACAATAAGTAAACTTTGTTTGTTTGATTTTGAGGCAGGGTTTTTCTGTATAGCTCTGTCTGTCCTGGAACTCGCTCTGTAGACCAGACTGGCCTAGAACTCACAGAAGACTTGTCTGCCTCTGCCTCTGCCTCCCAAGTACTGGGATTAAAAGTGTGCACCACCATAATCGGCCAACTTTTTTTTCTTTTTTTAATATAGGGCTGGAGAGGTGGCTCAGCAGTAAGACAGCTTACTGTCCTTACAGAGAGAACTCGAGTTCAGGTCCCAACACACACAACAGGTGGCTCACAAGAACCTGAACCTCTACAGGGAGAGCTGATGCTCTGGCCTCTGGGGGCATATGCACTCACATGCACTGAACTACACACATGTAATTTAAAATAATAAAAATAAGTCTTGGGGCTGGAGCACGGGCTGTTCTTCCAGAAGACCCAGGTTTGGTTTTCACAACTCACAAGGCAGCTTACAACTGACTCTAATTCCATTCCAGTTCCAGGGAACCAGATTCCCTCTTTTGGCCTCTGCAGTTGCCAGACATGCATGTGAGGCAAAGACCTATTTGCAGACAAAATATCCATTCACATGAAAGTAATTAGTTTTTTTTATAAAGTAATCAAAATTTTTGTTTATTTTGAGACAGGGCTTTTCTGTATAGGCCTGGCTGTTCTGGAATTTGCCCTCTAGACCAGACTGGCCTGAAACTCAAGAGATCTGTCTGTCTCTGCCTCCACCACAACAGGCAAAAAAACCTTAAATAAAGAGAAAAGGCTGGGGAGTGTCGTAGGACCTCAGGTGTATGTATGAACTAGGCTGCTGACCTCGCTGGGCATTAGCTCTGCGACGTTATCAGGAATCAAGTATGGCTCATTAAGGAAAGCGATGGTCAAGAGACTATCTTTAGTCAACTTCCCTTTGTGATTTCAGAACCAGTATCTCACTCTGTGTGTGTGCACACGCACATGGAATCTCACCTGCCATTCCTCAAGCAGCATCCTACCTTTCCCTGTGTGGTCTGGAACTCTCCTTGGCACAATGGCCAACAGACCCAGGGATCGACCTATTTCTGCCACCACAGTGCTGAGATTACAAATGTACATCTTATAATCATCGTTTTTCCCCATCGATTCTGGGGATCAAAACCAGGTTCTGCAAGAACTTTACCAATTGCGTCATTACCTCACCATCTTTTTTTGTTGTTTTGTTTTCCAAGACAGGGTTTCTCTGTGGTTTTGGAGCCTGTTCTGGAACTCGCTCTGTAGACCAGGCTGGCTTCAAACTCACAGAGATCCACCTGCCTCTGCTTCCCAAGTGCTGGGATTAAAGGCGTGCACCGCCGCCACTGGGGTCAGCATCTTTTTTTAAAAAAAATAACATTTTAGGAGTGTGGGGAGGGGTACAAGTCAGTACATATACTTATGGAATCCAGTAGAGGGCACTGAATCCCCTGTAACTGGAGTTACAGGTTGTAAACCCATCTACATGGCTGCAGAGAACAGAACTCTGTACCTTCTGTTCCTCTGCATGAGTATTATAAAATCTTAACCACTAGACCATCTCTCCAGCCCTTTTTGTTGGGTCTGTCTGTCTGCTTGCTTGCTTGCTTGTTTGAGACAGGGTCTTACTATGTAGTCCTAGGTGGTCTAGAACACAAAACATACCCCAGGCTGGCCTCCAACTTGTAGCCATCCTCAAGCTCTGCCTATTGAGTACTGGGATGCAAGGTGTGTGCCACGGCAGCAGGCCTCAACACCTCATCCTATTTTTTTCTCTGTGTATGGGTATATCTGCCTACATGTATATGTATATGTATGTGTACCACTTGCGTGGCTTGTAGCTGGGGAGCCAGAATAGGGCACCAGATACCCTGAAACTGGAGTTATGGAAAGTTATGAGCTGCTCTGGGAACTCTACTCATGTCCTCTTCAAGATCAACAAGCACTCTTCAGTGCTGCAATATCGTCAGCCCCCATGCCTCATTCTATAAAACAAAACAAAAATTGATAAACAGAGCAGAAGAGGCTGGCTTTATAGACAGGAAAGGGATGAAGGAAGCAGAAGCCAAACAAAAAGACTGGTCCGTTCCAAGTCACCTTCCTTACAAAGGCTAAACCTGAAGGAACTTCTTTATCATGGCAGCTAAAACTGGTTTGCCAGGGAACTGCTTGTGATCTTTCACCTGTTTCTCAGAAGGCTGGTTAAACAACTAAGCTTCACATAAATGTCTGCTCTGTCTTGGCCTGCTGGATCTAGTGCAGAAACTCATTCCAGACTACGGCTTCCTATGAACCTCATGTAAAACCACTGTCGTTCTCTTTTAATAAAAGATACCTGAAGACAGGGTCCAAATAGTGTTTTTTTTCTCTTGGGTTCCTTTGAGGCTCTTTTATCACCATCATTTTTGGATTAATTTATTGAGGTTAGGGGCATGCCATCGCACATGTGTACAAGTTAGAAGACAATCTGCAGGCACCAAGTTTCTGCTTCCAGCACATGGATCCTGGGGATCCATCTCAAGTCATCAAGTACCTTACCCACTCAGACATCTGACCTGCCCCTAACTTTAACATCCAGATTGACCTGGAATTTGTAAACTTCCTGTCTTCACCTCCCCAACACTGGGGTTACAAGCATACTACCAGGTCTGACTCTTTAATGTGGGTTCTGGGGATGGTCTCAGTACTTACGAGGCAAGTAGCTTACTAAATGAGCTGTATCCTCAGCCCTGGCCTGAACTCCTGATTTTCTTGCCAGTCTCCTGAATACAGGGATCACAGGCCTGTCCGACCACACCTAGGTGATAAAATGGGATTGTGCAAAGCACCTTTCCACTGCAGGGGAAGAAAGGGTAGTGGCAGAAGTCCTGGGCAGGGAGCACTCATGGTCCTTACCTCTCAGCTGTTCTGCCCGATACCAGAGCCTTCTGTGAAGACATGATGACTGAGGGAGGCACAACTTCCCGCCGGCCATCGCGAGTGCAGTAGTGATTGTTAGACAGCTTGTGACTGGGGCCCACAGGGAGCTTAGGAGGTGGCTGGGTCCTGAGGAAAAGGATGCTGGATTGAAACAAACCTTCCGTTGCTCTCACTGTTGTAACTCACTTACAAGACGAGTCAGGAGCTACAAAGAAGGCTGCAGGCCAGAGCATGTCTTGGTACACTATATGAAAATATGAAAAGTCTTCCCACAGGCTGAGGAAGGTGCTCCAGCCCTAAGTCTCTCTATAAAGGGCCCTTACTGACATTCCCAAGACAGAGTCCTAGATGTGCTCCTATCCTCAACACAAAGCTTAGCAGTGACCTTTCCTCCACCTAAAGGTGCTCAGGAAATCAGAAGAGAGCAACCCCCCTTTCCAGCAATTACAGTTCATAACACTGAGCCACAGTCCCAGAACACCCGATTGAAGTGACTTCCCTGAGCTCCCACACCCAAAGGCCAGGTTATAGACCTTGTAAGTTTCCTATTATCGCAGGAACCCTTTGAAGAGTCCTGCTGGGATTAAGGCTAACTGCTCAAAGAACACCTTGCCCTGGGAACCTGTCCAAGTCCCTGCACTTCCTGCCACTGTGTAGTCTGCAGCCAACATTCCCTGCAGAGGGAAGTGGAGGGCTATGTGGAACAAAGCTCAGTCCGGCCTCGGGTTAAACTCTGGGCTTACCGAGAATCCTAAAGCCTTGAAAGGAAACACGGAGCTTCAAACAGAGGAATTTCTTGGGACAAAGAGTAGATGATCATAAAAAGTCTTTATTTGGCCATATTGTCAAACAGCATTTTTACCTGGCAATTTTAAGTTCTTAAAAATTTGAAAGTCATTTTATTTTTTAAATAAGAAACATGTCAGTGTAATTGAGAGTTGGAAGCAAGAGAATCAGTTAAAGGTAATTCTACACAACATTAGTTCCACAAGTCAGCATGGGCTTTATGAGACTGTCTCAAAAATACGGAATACAAGGGCTAAAGAGTGGCTCAGCTGTGAAGAGACTGCTATCCAATCCTAAGGAGCAGAGTGCAGATCCCAGCACACACATAACAAGCAGAGCATCCCACAAACCCAGCAGCCCAATGCCTTCTCCTGGCCTCTGCATGCATACAGGCACATCCCCTTACACATGTCCAGACACATGCACACGTAAAATAAAATCTTTTAAAAAATTTTTTTGTTTTGTTTGTTTGTTTTCTTGACAGGGTCTCTGGCTGTCCTGGAATTCTATGTAGACCAAGACTGCTGGCCTCAGATTGTGAGATCCACCTGCATCTGCATCTCAGTCCTAGGATTAAAGGCCTACATCACTATGTCTAGCTTAAAATTTCCTAAGATTAGGGGTTGGAGAGATAGCTCAGTGGTTAAGAACACTGACTGTTCTTCCAAAGGTCTTGAGTTCAATTCCCCCAGCACCCACATGGCAGCTCACAACTGTCTACAAATCCAAAATCAGACACACATGCAGGCAATACACATAAAATAAAAAATAATTTTTAAAAAATTTCCTAAGATTAAAGGGAAGATGGGGAGAGAAAAGTGAGAAGGGGAGGTTGGGGGGAACTTGGGGAAACGGGATGATTGGGATAAAGGAAGGTTGGATAGGGGAGCAGGGAAGCACATATCTTAATTAGGGGAGCCATCTTAGGGTTGGCAAGAGACTTGGACCTAGAGGGGCTCCCAGGTGCCCAGGGCGATGTCCCCAGTTAGTTCCTGGGGCAGCTGAGGATAGGGAACCTGAAATGACCCTATCCTATAGCCATACTGATGAATATCTTGCATATCACCATAGAACCTTCATCTGGTGATGGATGGAGATAGAGACAGAGACCCACACTGGA